TAATTAGGCAGGCCTCCGCAGCAGCGGATACGAACGATGTGCGTGAGAGGGGCATTCTTGGCGTGCGAGAGAGGTGGTGTCATAAAGATGCAAGAGAGAGAGAGAGAGAGAGAGAGAGAGTGAATCTCCAGACCTTCGGTGCTGCTGGCCACTCTTTGCCCACGGTCTTCGCCCCAGCGACCCGACCACAGCAGTGGCACGCGTCGCGCCGGCTCAGATGTCGCCGGCGTACCAGCCACCTGTCTTCCTCCCCTCTTCTTCTCTTCAGGCGATCGCAATCATGGATCAAGGGGGCGTGAACTAGCGACGGGTCCCGTTTCCAGGGGGAATCGCGGATTTCCGCCGCCGAACGAGGCGGCACCGGCCGCACTTTGGGGAGGGCATCTCTCCCGATCCATGGATTTGGCGACCGCGCGCCAAATCCATGGATCGCTAGTCCACGTTTGCGCGCCCCCGATTCTCTCATCGTCCTCTCCTCTCTCGCCATGCCTCTTGTGCTTGCCTTGCTCCCGGCGGCTTTTTGCCACTTGCAGCCCTCGTGGTTTGCCCTGGGCCCCTCGAGGCTTCCCTCCCGCCAGTCTTCGCCGCTCGCCTGCTGCGCTCCTTGCTGGCGTCGGCGCCTCTTCGACGTGTCGTCCAGCTTCCCGTCACTCCTTCCTCCTCAGGGGTAACGATAGGGGGGGACGGGCATAGGGCATAGGGGGGGATGCATCGACCCCCAATCGCCCATTGATCGCCGATACGGGCCCGATAGCCCCAACCCGCCCAGGAAGATGCGGATTCACCATCGGGGACCTGTCGCCGATCTATCGGCGATGTATCGCCGATTGCAGGTCGATGCATCCCCCCCTATGCCAGTCCCCCCCTATCGTTGCCCCCTACATCCGCTCGCTTCCTGGCTTGCCTGCCAAGCCTTGGGCGTTTTCGGTGCTTTTCCCTGCGCCTGCTTCTCGTGGACCTGCCCGGCTTTCACCGCTGGGGATCTAGCGGAGGGCAGCGGTCCTGACCACGCTTCCACCCGAGCTGGCCAAGGCGTTTCAAACGCGCCGTGTTCCGATGCGCCCGTTGACGGGGCTCGTCATCGGTGGATCGGAAGAGCAGTGCTTCGCAGGGCTGTGCAATTGCAGTGCTTCGCAGGTGCTGTGCTACGCTGGCGACACGGAAATCAAATATTCATGTGTTGACAGCTTCCTCAGAACAACTTTGTGTTTACGAACTTCGCGCTATAAAAAACGATATTTACGATCTCTGGCCTAGAAACATATGCAGATGACAGAGTAAGGGGTCAGAGTTCCCGATAAGCGCTGTCCTGACAGTGGGGCCCAGGTCATGCCGCTGGGGATGGGGATCGGATAACGGATACTGGGTCGCTGTAGGCTCCAGCACCCGCAAAGACGAATTAGTAGCGCCGCCTCTCGCTCGAATCAGCATTCATGCCGATTCACTTTGGGACTCCAGCGTCTGAGCCGAGGGTATTGATTCGGGTGCAGCTGATCTATCGGGTGTGAGGTTCTAAGGAAGCGAAGGAGCCGCACAGCCGCCCTCTGTGGCATCTTTAAGAAGGTTTTTGGGAACAGTGCCTTTGAACAGCCGCGCTGAAGCGGGAGGTGATAAGGGGGTGCTAGGCCCATTTCTGCATCCACCCGGCCCGCATGGTAATCGCGGGTCGGGGCGAGAGGAAATCGGGGAAGGCGGATGGAGGAGGGGGGGATGGCAGACAGGGGGGCCAATCGGGGGATGACGGGGGCCTGGAGTTGGGAAATCGGGGAAAATGGAGGAGTGGTGGACGACGGAAGCTGGGGACGCTGGGGGACGGAGCGAGCCGGGATGGCCGGGCCGACGCGCGCCCGACCGCAGCCGCAATGGCTTGTGCTGCCCCGCGGCCCCTCCGCCGGCCGGGTGTTGCTAGAAGTACCCTTGGCCCAAGGTGCCCCCAGGATTCTCGGGGTGGCCCGGACGGCCTCCGTAGCACCCCTCACAAGGCCCAGAGGGCCCCAGGGCCCCCAAAATGGAGCGAAAAGCTGGGGGCACCTTGGGCCAGGGGCACTTGTAGCAACACCCGACCCCGCTCCCCTCGATGATCCTCAGGACTCGAGTCCGCCCAAGCGTGTGCTCACCCCGCTCACGGCTCCGCCGATCGCGAGCAGGTCGTGTTGGCTCTCGCTGGGGCCGCCTGGCGTCGTGCGGAAGAGCCTCGGTGGACAGAAGCGCGCGCTGGCGCTGACACGTTCTGAGGATCAAGCAGTGGCGAAGCGTCCTGGCTCACCTATAGGCGTACCAAACAATGTTCTAAGAACCTCTTGTGGTTTCACGAAATGTTCTTACAACATTTCTGGCTGAGACTGTTGTGTTTTAAGACATCGGGTTTCTGTTCTAAGAACATTGCTGTCGTTATTGGAACATTTCTGGGTTCTAAGAGCATGTCGTGGTAGGCCTATGGGAATGCTGGGACGGTCGGCCCCTGCTCAGGAGGATCCTCGCTCCCCCGCCGCACCCCCCCTGCGCTCGCCGGCGCCGGCGGCGCCGGCGGCGAATGGGCCGGGGGCCGCGGCGGGGCTGCCGCGCCGCGCCGCGATGCGTGCGGGGAGCTGGTCCAGTGGGGGGCAAGTCTCGGCCCCTCGGTCGTGGCCGCGCCGTGCCGGGGCGCACCGTAGCCATGGCGCCGCCACGACCGTGGCCAGGGCGCGGCCACGACCGCATTCTTCTCCTTCCTCGGTCGTGGCCGCGCCGTGGCCACCCGCCCTCCTCGGCGACGTTATCCTCCCAGGTGGGGTCCGGGCAGATGGGGTCGGGGGATCGCGCCGCATCGCCGATGCATCGGCGATGCGGCTCGACGTGGAGTCCGCTTTTCTCCACGTCGGCGTCGCCGCTGCATCGCCGATGCGGTGCAGTCTTCCGACCCGATCTGCTAGGGCCCCGTCTATCAGGAGGGGGAAACACACAGACACAATGAATCGTCGATTCCTTCGAAAATATAGGGAAAATATGGGAAGTGGGGTGGACGACAAAAACCTAGAAAATATGCGAGAATATAGGGAATCCAGTTATTTGTGCCTATTTCTTTGTGTGTCCCAGGGCTCCTTCACTCTTGCATTCCCCCCCCCCCCGCCATCGCCGTTGTCGTCGACGTAGTCCTTGGCCCAGGAGGCCACCTGGCTGAGGCCCGAAGACGGCCCGAGATGTCAGAAACCTCGATTCGTCTTCGTCGACGTCGTCATCGTGCCTCGGCGGCACCCCGAGGCGAGAATTGCGAGGGGACAGGCATTCTCAGAAGGCGGCGGTGCTCTGGAGAAGGGTCAGAAGGCTTCTCGGAATGCCAGGGGCCTTCTGAGTCTTTGAGAAGGCCCGCCCCCTCTGCCGCGCCCCCGTGGCGCCTTCCTCTCCCCTCCTCCTCCTCCTCCTCCTCCTCCTCCTCCTCCCTCCTCCTCCTCCTCCTCCTCCTCCTCCTCCTCCTCCTCCTCCTCCTCCTCCTCCTCCTCCTCTTGCTCCTCCTCATCCTCATCCTCATCCTCATCCTCATCCTCATCCTCCCTCCCAGGTCGGGCAGACCGCGCTCGGCATCCGCCGATCGGCCCCGCCCGGCCTCCGCGGGCTCCGCTGAGCGGCCGCCGCTGGCGCCGCCGACCGCGCCCCGAGAGGGCGCGCGGGGCGCGGCCGGCTCCGCGGCGGCCCTGTTGCGCCGCAGCGCGTCGGCCCGCGGCGACCGCCCGCTGGAGGCGCCGCTGCCCGCGGGGCCCTCGGCGGCGTGGGGCTCCCGCCCGAGCAGCGCTCGCCACCGGCCGTCCGCGCAGGCCGCCTGGGGCGCCCAGCCGCCCCGCGGGGCCGTGCGGAGCGCCTCGCCACCGGCGTGCCGAGCTGGCCAGGACCTCCGGGGCGCCCCTGCCTCAGGCGGCGCTGCGCTGGCTGCCGCCGGGGAGCCGGCCGACGTTGCGCTGCTGCGCGCGAGGTACGAGCTGCGGCTCGACGTCGAGCGCGCGCGGACGCAGGACGGGGCCCTCGAGCTGCAGGAGGCCTACAACGAGGCCATGGCGAGGAGGGTCGCGGCCTTGCGGGCCTCCTTCGAGGAGCAGGCGGCGCTGCAGGCGGCTGCGCAGGAGCAGGCCCTCCGCCGCGAGCGCGCCTGCGCGGAGGGCGCTGCGGCTGCCCTGCGCGACGTCGAACTGGCGCTGCGCGAAGAGCTGCGGGGCGCGCGCGCGGCAGGCGCGGCGGAGGCCGCCGCGCTGGCGGCCTCGCGCGCGGCGGGCGAGGCCGAGGCTGCTGCGCTGGCGGCCGTGCGCGCGGAGCGCGAGGAGGACCTCGCCCGCGCGGCCTCCGCGGAGCAGCGCCTCCTCGGCGCCGCGCGCGAGGAGTTCCGCGAGCGGCGCGAGGAGCAGGTGGCCGAGGTGGTGGCGCGCCTCGAGCTGGACCACTTCCGGCGGTCCGAGCTGCTCGCCCGGGAGGCCGAGCAGCGGCGGCGTTGGGAGGCGCAGGCCGAGGAGTCGCGCCAGAGGCTGGCCGAGCTCTGGGCCGCACCGTCGCCGGAGGACCGTGAAGGCGAAACAGCTGCATGAACATCCAGAGGCGACGATGGGGGCGAATAGCCCAGGGGCGGGCATTACGTACACGTGTTCGCCTGGGAGCCTCGCCGAAGGCATGGGCCATCGGCTCCCTATCGTCGTCTTCCGAAACATGAACGTTTGGAGCTCCGCGCGGACGTCTCGGATCTGCGCTGAGGCCCCCCCTGCGGCGCTGGAACGGAGCTTCACAATCCGCGCGGAGCGAAGCGCAGATCCAAGGAATTCCGCGCGGGGCTTCGAACACTTAGAAAGATGCAGTTTCTTCGTTCTCTCAGAGGAGCGCGAAGGACTCGCCCTGCGCCTGGCCGACGCGGAGGCCCGCCTGGGCGCCGCGGAGGCGCGAGCGGCGGCCGCCGCGGCCGACGAGGCGTCGCGGCTCGAGGTGGTCGAGGGGCGCGTGCTGCGCGCGCTGCGGCTCAAGGACGGCCTCGTCGGGGAGCTGAGGTCCGCGGGGCTGGACCTCAACGATGTTTTGCTGGACTTCGGCTGTGCTTTGTTTTTCTTGTTGGCAGGGAGGTGCAGGAAAACAGGCAGAGCAAAATCGGGTATAGCCAGGACCCCAGGTAAGGAGACCTGGTTAGTGGTAGGGCCCTGGAGCCCCTCAATTGGCCAGAATCACTTAACCAGGTTTCCGTGGCTGGTGTTTTTTTCGGGTGACGGCAATTCCGGTTAGTGGAACGGGGCGGGAGGAAGGGGGCGTCCCCCCAGTACACATCATTAAGCCAGGCCCCACTAAACCGAGTTCTGCCAACGCCCGACAAAAAAGAACAACAAGACGAACAATTCGGGTTTACCCAAAAGGGGGTCCAGCGAAAAGGGGATGGGGCAATAGATTTGGATCAATTGATTTGTGGGGTTGCATTACATGTGGGGCGTGCAGTACATTTCGGGGCGCACATGTATTGCTGTATTTTCGTGTGCAGCACATAACTTGCAATACAATGCAATACAATTCTCCGGCAGAGTACACTTGCAATACACTTGCCCCAAACGTATTGCACCACCCCCTTTCAGCTGGACCCCCGTTTGGGCCGCCCCAAAAAATAACGCCTGGGTCCAGCCCAGGAGGTCCGCAGGATGCTCCCGTGCGCCACCGCCCGTGCCCGGCCAGGGCAAGGCCCCGAGGCAGCGCAGGGAGCCCCCCTGGCCTCGGCCAGGGGGGCGCAGCCCCTCGCCCCAGAAGAGGGAGGAAGAGGAGGAGGAATGGGGACGAGGAGGAGGAGGAGGAGGAAGAGGAGGAGGAGGAGGAGGAGGGGGAGGAGGAGGAGGGGGGAGGAGGAGGAGGAGGAGGAGGAGGAGGGGGGGAGGAGGGGGAGGAGGAGGAGGAGGAGGGAGGAGGAGATGATGATGATGATGATGATGATGATGATGATGATGATGATGATGATGATGATGATGATGATGATGATGATGATGATGATGATGATGATGATGATGATGATGATGATGATGATGATGATGATGATGATGATGATGATGATGATGATGATGATGATGATGATGATGATGATGATGATGATGATGATGATGATGATGATGATGGATGCTGATGATGATGATGATGCTGATGATGATGATGATGATGATGATGATGATGGTGGTGGTGGTGGTGGTGGTGATGATGATGGTGATGATGATGATGATGATGATGATGATGATGATGATGATGATGATGATGATGATGCTGATGATGATGATGATGATGATGATGATGATGATGATGATGATGATGATGATGATGATGATGATGATGATGATGATGATGATGATGATGATGATGATGATGATGATGATGATGATGATGATGATGATGATGATGATGATGATGATGATGATGATGATCTGAGGAGGAAGAGAGGAGGAGGAGAGGAGGAGGAGATGAGGAGGAGGAGGAGGAGAGGAGGAGGAGGAGGAGGAGGAGGGAGGAGGGGAATGAGGAGGAGGAGGAGGAGGAGGAGGAGGAGGAGGAGGAGGAGGAGGAGGAGGAGGAGGGGGATCCGCTTTCGGTTCCGAAAGCCGATATGTAGGGTCGGTGGGCGAACATCCTACCAACAAATGTGCTGCCGTGCCAGTGGTGAAAAATCCACAGGAGACGGAGGAGGCAAACGTGCCCCGAGGAAACCCAGAGACGATGCCCCTGGCCGCGGACGCGGGAACGGGCCCCGTTTCTGGCATGGCACGGTCAGGCACAATTGTGGCGGCCATGGTAGGCCTGCCCCTGCGATGGCCGCCAGTCTTCCGACGCTTATCAGGGCGAAACGCGGGGCCTTCGCGATCTGGAATTCCGAGATCCCTGATCGCAAGGTCTCTGTCCCTGGAGGCGTCATCCCTAACCGAGACGATCGGTTCGAAGCTGACCCGAGGACGACCGTGGCGCTCGGGCCCGCTACTCGGGGAGAGGCTGCGCTGGCGTCGCATACCAGGGGAAAACGGCGCCACCTCCTCGGGTCTGAGAGTCCCTTCCCGAGCTTCACACGACCGAACGAAAGCAGAGGAGGAGGAAGGGTGGTCACCGCAGGCAGCAATGCCAGGGCCACGGCCGTCATGACTCGTCCTGCCTCCACTGTCCGTGCCGCTCGCGGCGTCACCAGGGACGCAGGGAACGGAGGCAGACGCGGTCATGGCCGCAGCCTTGGCAGCACGAGTCCGAGCAGGGCAGGCACGACGAGAGAGAAGATTGTGGGTACTCTCTAGCTTCGAACCTTTCTTACAATACTGACATCGCCACAACTTGGCCCCAACGGGCCGAAGAACGTGTCGGATCCCCGAGGGAACATTACGGAAAATGGCGACAGGAGCCTTGCGGGGCCTGGGCGGCTTCCGGCCCCGAGGTCGGGCGTCAAACCGTTCCCCCCCAAAAAAGTCGGTGACAGCCTGTGCACTCCAGCGAAGAAGCGAGTTATATTGCCGAAGGCCTGTGTGCATGGTGGGGGCCGAGTGGGTGTTCCGCCCAAGACATGCAGCATGGTCGGCCCATCGGTTGCCAACAGCATGGGCACGGGTTCCACGCTGATGGCAACTGACGAGGACTACGCTGATGCCAACTTCTAACCCCCCGAGGTCATGAACTTTGCTCCTGATGGCCAACCATAGATCAATATTCGAACGCCGAGGGGCGCAGCGCCACTGAGGGCCGCTATTTGGACCGTCCAAGAGGCCTTTGAAGTCCGCGTGGGCCACGACGGGGGGGAGGCACACCTGGAGGACCTGGAGGAAAGCGAAAGCTCGGCCCTAGGAGAAGACTGCACTGGGCCTGGCAGGGGCCCCGGCACCAGGATGTCGACGCCCTGCCTCGCCCCACGGGGCTTCGCGAAGCCCCAGCCCGCTCGGGCCGCCTCGGGCCAATACCACATACGTGAGCATGCGCCGTCGGTACACGCGTGGCCCGAGATCCCCTGCGGGTTACCAGGATGTACCGTCCATCGATTATCATCTATCCTCGGCGGCATCGCAGGGAAACTGCTGCGACTGACCAGCCCGCGCGACCACAACAAGGAATCTCGAGACATAGTGGGGGACCCTCTCTGATCGAAGGAGCGCGGGAATTTGGTTTGTCTCGTGCCCAGGATGGGCACTGCCATAAGATGTGGTAGATGTCACATTGTTCCTGTCCGCAGCGCGGGCGACGCGAGTCTATGCACCCGCAACGGTGAAGCTTGTCTGGCGTCCATAGGCCTCCAGCCAAGAAAGCACGAAGGAGACCGCCTTCTGTCAAGTCTGGCTGCCACGCGCGCGGAGGCTCGCTGGACCAATGTGCATCGTCGACGTCGTCTGGATTCACGTACTGGTCATCTGTGTCCTGACCGCTGCTAGAGTCCGGATCGGGGACGGGGATCGGATCTAGGATCTAGATGATTGGTTCCGCCCAGTAGCCGATGGGTTCCTTATGACAGGCGGGTTCACCAGCCAGCTGCGGCCGTGCTGCCCATCTCTCCCGCAGCCTCCGAACTGCGGCCTCGCGGGCCGAAGCCCGCTAGTAGGCCCAGCGGGGCCCGCCGCCTGCTTCCAGGGGGACTTGGCTTCAGATGGCAGTTTGCGCGCCTGCGTGCACAGCGCCGCCTGCAGCGCGCGCGAGGGGATGGCGGCGTCTTGGCTCAAGAGGGCCCACTGGAATAGAGCCGCAGTCCACGCCTCGACCTGCGGGCCTGTGAACAACGAACCTTGTAAGCAATCTGTTACCCAACAGGAAGTACCTGCTCCTGGCGCATGCCGCGCCGGTCTCTGACAAGCACGCGCGTGGCCCACGGGCCTCGGAGGAGCGCCATGCACCCCCAGCCCGTAGGTAATCGCAGGCGGCACTGCCTGCTTGGTGAATTTCGTGAGCAGCGCTCCAGGCCTGCGAGGGGTGCGGAACCGAGGTCGACGACGAACGGCCCCCGCCACCCTCTGTCTCAATTTGGAATACCGAATGGGCCGACCCGACGCAACCTCACTGCCCAAGACCTCGAAGGCTGTGGCGTATTGGTATCATATCGGGGCCAGCTGCTTGCACCCGCGCTGTCCGAGCCTAGGGATGCTGCTCGCGACCTTCATCTTGTGAGCGGCTGGCGGTAAGCCCAATATCTTGAGGGCGTGGATAAGCATTCGAAGGAGTTGTAGAGAACAATCCATATCTTAGAGACGGCACCTCGGGCGCCGATCGCGATGTCGTCCGCGTTGAGGAGCCAAAGAACGAGGGATAAACGATGCGTGTCTCTCGAGAGAGTCGAAGGCCGTCAGCATTGCACGCTGCAGTGCGGACATGGCTAGCGGGCATCCTGGCAGCGCGCCCTGGCGGGCGTAAGCCGGCGTTGAACAGCAATTGTCCCATCCCGACTTCCTCTCTCCCATGTGCATCCTGAATGCAAGCAGCGCGGGCCGGCTTGGAAATTGGTGGACGGACGCCGCCCGAAGTAGCGCGCCCCATGGCACCATGTCGAAACACTTCGCTATATCCACGATCGCGTGAACGGACCCGTTATTCTGAGAGATCTGACCTGCTTCCGCTTGGGCCAATGCCCTGGCAGCAATGTCGGCGGCTGCGCGTAGCGACCCCGAAGCCAGATAATTCTTCACGCTTCGCGCATCCCCACCAGCCCATCTCGCAACAGCAACTCTTGCGAAGCATGCCGACAGTCGTTTTTTTTTTTTTTTTTTTTTTTTTTTTTTTTTTTTTTTTTTTTTTTTTTTTTTTTTTTTTTTTTTTTTTTTTTTTTTTTTTTTTTTTTTTAAAAAAAAAAAAAAAAAAAAAAAAAAAAAAAAAAAAAAATAAAAAAAAATCAGGCGTGTTTCCGCCTGCCCCCGCATATCTCCGGGCCTCTCGTCCTGGTGTGAGTCGTTCGGGCCCTTCTTCCTGGTGTGAGTCGTTTGGGCTCTTCGTCGTGGTTTGAGTCGTTCGGGCTCTTCGTCCTGGCGTGAGTCGTTCGGGCTTCTCGTGGTGTGAGTTGTTCGGGCCCTTCGTCCTG